GGTAGTGTGGAATCACACGGCTCCGGGAGCTGGGGATCGAGGGGATCTGCCTCACACAAAGCCCCTGCGCTGGCAGCCTGGCTTTTCCTTTGCCGTTACTGCTTGCTTTGGAAGAAGGTGTAAGAAGGGGCTCTGAAAGGTATTTTTATTTAAAGGCAAGAAAGAAACGTTTCTCAGTAAAAACAACGTCCTTTCAGCTTTCCTTCTTCCCGCACCTTCTGAAAAAAAGGCAGAAAACAAAACCCACATTGATAAGGGCAAGCTTCTGAGCTTCAGCCTTGCTTAGACAAGAGAGTTTCCTTCCTAAGTAAGGAAGTTTTTTCTGTCTTCACCGTTTCAATCTTTGCTTTTCTGCAGTTTCTCATAGATGTGGTACTGGCCAGGAGGGTTCTCCGTGCCCTGGTTCATGTGGCTGCACAAGTGTTAGTGTGGGAATGCTTTTTGCTGTCTCAAGTGTTTTGATGCACTGATGTGGGGGTATTACCTATTGGCTAAAATACATAATGTACATTGTATTATGTACTTGCTAAAAAAACAACCTTTGTATTTGGAGTCGTTAAGTTATATTTGTTAGGGTATTTTTATCCACAGACCATTTACACATCCAGTTCGAAATAATGTGTCTTGCTGCCTTCTCTCCCTGTCATTCCCCGATTTATGAGCTCACTTGGAACAATGGCCAGAGTTTAAAAAAGCAAGTTGGTATTGTTGTGAGAGCCTCTACAGTATACCTCAGTGCAAAACCCACAGGTTTTCACTGCACTGAACAAATGCACATGCACTTGTGTGCATGGCAAAAGGGCTCTGCAAAGGTATAAAGAGCACTGTTGCTTTATACCACTTCTCACAGCCTGTAAAACCTGCAGGTTTTTTTACTAATAATTAGGTTATGAGCTGCCATCAATTAGTTATTTATGTGTGAGACTTACTTCTGCTGTGGACCATTGTGTTCATATTTCTGTATCAAAAAGGTGAAAACAACATTTCCAACACTGAACCAACAAATCAAAGTTTGGAAAAATGACAGCAAGAAAGGGGTAAGTTTTTATAAGCAGCAAAGGCTATACATAAACGTGTCACTGATGGCCGACAAGGAATTGGTGGGGAAGCATCAAATCTGAAGTATACATGTAAGCTTTGTTGACAATCTGGGATACAAATAGTATAACATTTTCCTTTTTGTTAAAGGCATTTTTTAGAACTACTTACACGAGCACATGGAATACTCTGGTAAAAGAAGCAGTAGAGCAGTTTGGCCTGTTACAGAGTTATGGTTCAACTAACGATGGACCTAATTGCTAAAAGTGTCGGTCACAAGAATCGCAATGAAGAGGACTTTGGACAGTATCTGCGAAAAATAACTCATCTGAATTTGTCAGATAAAAGTATAGATACAATTGTAAGATTTATTTTTCTTTATTCCTTTTAACCTGGCTGCTCAAATGTTTTGTAGATACTGTTATGATGAGTTGTTTGTAGTTGGGGAGACAAACGAGGAAAGCCAAGTTTCTGTTTTATAACAGCTATATTACACTTTAACATTTCTGTTGACTTGCAATTAAGCCTTAATAACACCTTTTTGAAAACATGCTTCAGCATTCCCTGCCGTTATTGTGTGGAATGCTGCTTGTCCATAAATGTGTTTAAATGGATTTTAAATGTGTGGCATTTGAAATGTGAAAACAATCTTTCAACTGTAACTTTACATATAAAACATCAAAGCAGGTGCTTGTAACTCCAGCAGTCTGTAGGGTTTCTTATTATCAATCTGACGCTGTTTTCTTTATGGGGTAAAAAATCTTATTGAAGTATTTTACCTGAAACTGTGGAAATGTATATCATCTGTGTAGCAGACAAGAAAGATATTATCAGTACGCTAACTATTTTTGCTATTAATTAATTAAAACAGAAAATCCATGTAAGCAATTACACAAGAGAGATGAACTGAAGCATAAAAGTGAAGTATTTTTCACAGTATTTCACAAATTCTTAGAGAAATCTGCAGCTCTCAAAAAAAAAAAATCAAAACAATTTGTGTTTTGATTATTTTATTCAGTTGCTACATTGTAAAGGAGCTTTCAGGAAGTGACCAGAATGGAAATAACTCCACTTGCTTATCTGTATAGCCACTTAAGAAAGAGAATATTTTAAATTAATCATTTAGACCTGATGCTTTTCCTATAGAACATAGCCAGGCTGTTGCTATTGGGTCAGTAGGGGCAGGGCTTTGGCAGCCCTGTTGAAATCCAGCTGTAGTGTTCTGGAGACTTTAGGTCCGAGGTTAAAAGACGAAGTTCATATTTCAGCAGCAGTTTTGTTTTCTGCTTAAAGGCTTGTGTTTATCAATGGTTACCTTTACAAAAATGCAACTGTGGAATAGAAGATGATGTAAGGAACTAGTAGTTTTGCAGATCAGATGTTTTTTTAAAGGAAGTAGTAATGACATTACATACTGTTAAGTGCAACACTTATTTTATTCTCGTTAATGCGATATTTTTCTAGTCTTGGGAATTTTACAAAGAGTTTAACTCACGGTACAATCTTTTCAATCTATCTGTGATTTATTCCTTAGATTTCAGAGGAAGTCTGAGAAAGGAAAAGGGTGTTCAAGAACAGGGTATAAGCCAAGTAAGGTTAACAAATTTGGCCTGCCGTAGTGGCTTTTTCAAATTAATCAGGTTAACATCTACATTTGTTTTTAAAATTGCTCCCTGGGGCTTATTAATTTAAAAAATAATGCATGACCTTTTAATTCTCAAAGACTAAACCTGCAAACTTAACCCAGTCCTTCCTTTGAGTTTAATAATAGGAAATTTGTATAGGTTTCAGGAAGTCATGAGTTAATTCAAATCCCCCCAAGATACTGAGCACATTTTGAATTGCTGAGCCCTGAACAACTGAATTGTTTTGTAAGGTCATTTTCTGCTTTAAAAGTGTGATTTCAGTTGAGAAGATCAGCTCTATCTGAACAGATCCATGCAAGCAAATGGGTTTACTCAGCCCTAGGAAGGTGCATGGCCATAGCAAGTCACTACTTTGATCAGTCCGCTTGGTTAGGACTGGTTCATCAGATGCCACAGAGAAGTTTTACAGAAACCCTCATAAGAACATGTGACCTTTCAGGTATTTAAGAGGAATACATTCAAAGAAACTTGACATTTGTGTGGTATCTTAGACTCGGAAGTGTGTTAAAATACACTGAAGTGCAAGTTTTTGTATAAATCGATATTCCTTTGCCAAGAACTGGTTTCCATTACATCACTGAGGTTTGATGGAGGCAACTGCACTAACAATAGCGCTTTTCTGAAATCCACCTGATGGAGGCAGGGAAGGGAATGAAGTCACACAGGATGTGATGCACCTGCTGCTGATGGCTGTAGTCTTCATCTTCTCTACAGCACAAATGACAGTTTTCAGTCTTAAATCTGGTGATTACTGACACTAACTCAGTTTTTCTAGGAAAAATAGTTGTTAAAAGTATTTGTTAAAGGTGAAAATGTATAAATCATGTAGCAGAACTTCAATATAAAAACAATCAACAGCTTCCAGAAGCAGACAGTGAATGAACTCTATGTGGCATTAATTTGTTATTGTTTATTTCAGGGTGACCTCTCTTTGTTCAAAAATCTTAGAGTTCTATATTTATATGATAACCAAATCGGACAAATCCAGAACTTGGACTTTGCTTCAAATATAACGCACCTTTACCTTCAGAACAATTGTATTTCATGTATAGAAAATCTCTCATCACTGAAAAACCTTGAAAAACTGTAAGTTGAAAATAATGTATTTACTTTACTAGTAAAAGAATAATTACTACACTAAGAAATTAAAAAAAAATACCATAGAATCATAGACTCATTAGGATGGAATAGATCTCTGAGATCATCAAGTCCAACCGTTGAGCTAACACCACCATGCCCACTAAACCATGTCCCAAAGTGCCACATCTACACATTTCTTGAACGCCTCCAGGGACGGTGACTCCACCGCTCCCCTGGGCAGCCTGTTCCAGTGTTTGACTACCCTTTCGGTAAAGAAATTTTTCCTAATATCCAATCTAAACATCCCCTGGAGCAACTTGAGGCCATTTCCTCTTGTCCTATCGCTTGTTACTTGGGAGAAGAGACCGACCCTCATCTCACTACAACCTCCTCTCAGGTAGTTGTAGAGAGCAATATGTAGCCATTAAGGTCCTTTCAGCTCTTAAATTTTGCTTTTCAAATAAAAATAAGTTCTTATGATTTTGTTTGATGAAGTATTCTGTGATATAAGTAATGACATATCTTAATATGTTTGTTTGCATTTAAATTATTTTTTCAGCCATTTAATAATAATAATAGTAATATATAAAACCACTTAAAAAACCCTTGGATACGTTCTACTTGCATTCTAGGTTATTTACTTTTTCTATTATGATTTTTAAGTATTATTCAATAATACTTAAAAACCCCTTTAATATATTGAGGCCTTGTGTTTGCTTTTACTTTCAAAGGATATAAAATCTATTTTGTGCTCTATTCTGCAGATATTTGGGGGGCAACTGCATCACTGTAGTAGAGGGTTTGGACAAAATAGAAAAAATAAGGGAGCTACACATTGAAAATCAGCATCTCCTTCTTGGTGAAAAGCTTCTGTTTGATCCAAGATCTCTTAGGTCCCTGGCAGTAAGTGCATTCTGAGAATTTTAATGAGCCATTAATCAGTAGATCAGTATTTTTAAGAGAAGTGATTAGGACTAGATCACTATGTTTTCCTTTTCTGACAATTGGTGGCATTCTTCAAGTTCTATCAAGGGACTCCCGTTCCAGTTCTTATATAAGCAAGGAATCCAGCAGATTCTACTTTTTCATTTATTTTTCTGTGAAGGATGGAAATGAGAACAAAGAGAGAGAGGAAGTAAGCAAATGTGTGGATGTCCTATACCAACAGAATGTGAATAAGATAAAAAAAGGGTAGAAGTTATCACTGTTAGTTGTCTTAGTCAATTTAGTTTGTAGTGAATTAGTTTGTTAGTATTTCTCTGATTCGATTGTTACATTAGTTTATTTACTGCCTTTTGTATTTCTCTAGAGAATGCAATGGCAAAAAAAAGGTGCAAACAGCTTTTTTTCTGGATATTAAGAATAACACAGTTTTAGTTCTGCAATTTTTCTGTGTTGTGGTATGTCAAGATTTCATGAAAGTAATCTTTAGAAATTTTCTTTCAACACGTTAATTGCTCAGTAAACATCAAATGTATTGTTGAAGCGGTCAAAAAAAAATAGACTTTATTTGCTAATGGATCTTACTAATTCATCTTGCTGTATCTCCCAATGTGTAGTCAGGGCTTGAGCATCTTTTTTTGTGAAGATGAGCTCACTGAAAAGTGAGTTCTTTTGTTCATGTGTATGTCATAAACTTTTGACCTAGTTTTGAGACTAAGTAATCCAAGACATCATTTTCTAGAGGTACAAGCTTCTTGTATGAAACTACATTAAGTATTTCCTGAGATAAACTCCTGAAACACATTAACTTTTTTATCTAGAATGCAAAGATCTCTCTATTGTCTGTTACAAAAGGCAAAGTGCATTTTGTGACTCACTAGAGTTCCAAAGAAGGGACAAGGCATAGAGGTATGTATACTGACAGGTTTGTGGGATCAAGCCTGAAAGAAAAACAGCATAGGCCAACACTTTCATCCTTCAAACGTAGAGTTAGTAGCACTTGGAGAACTCTGGAAAGCATTTGAACATATTTAGAGAAAAACAAAAATCCTGTGTTTACTAAGAATCCCTGAAATAACTGAGAAATAATCTTACTTTGATTTGACATCAAAACCAAAATAAAGAGCATTTTAGGACAAGAGGGAAAGCCAACATAAAATGTGTGAGGTATGTGGTAGTTGTATTTGCATGTTTCTGTTTCATATGCTTGTTATTTCTTTAAGAGAATTTCTGTACAACTTGACTCATGCATGACATGGAAAAAAAATGTTCTTTTTCTGCTTTTCTTCCTCCAGAAATCTTTGTCTGTGTTGAATATCAGCAATAACAACATTGATGAATTAGAAGAACTGGCAGTTTTGGAAAATCTTTGTTATCTTAGAGCAATTGACAATCAACTTGAACATATGAAGGTATTAAAATAAATATTTGTTCTATTTAGTATGGGTGATAAGAAATTAGTCAAATTCATCTTTATCACTAAATAGGTGAGTAAAAATAAACTTTACTTCTGCAGTTACTGAACCTCTGATTTTCCAAGCATGCTGTCTTTTCTCATCCAAAAATCTTGTTGAGATTAAAAACGGAGGACTGTTTATCTAGGGTGTCCAAATGGCCTTTAATCCTAGTAAGGTGGCAATTGTGTATGCATCTGTCAGCTGAGTAATAAATGCATGGAAGTTGTAACTATAACACAATATGTCCAAAATGTAGAGTTGATGTGTACGTTTTGGCCGTCTGAGTGAATATCAGTGGCTTAATTTGCAGAGATGATGTGCCCGTTGTTTCTTAATTAACTTGCAGTTTTTAATTCTGTTTTAAATAAATAAAAGCTGCTTCTTGGATATCAGATCATCTAGCATTAGTGTTCTGCTTTTTTTAAAATTTATATTTTTATTAATAAATAGTAAAATGAATCGGCTTAAATCGTAACCCAAATCACTAAGACAAAGCCTTGATTAAAATCAACTCTTTCATTAGCAGTTTGCATATATGTTCTATTTCCTTAGAAAAGTTAACTTTCATTGGTTAGTAATTATTAAAATAACTATTCTTATTACTTCTTAGAACACTTATTATCTTCTACGTTAAACTTGGCAGTTCTGTTTACTAATAAGGATTTTATGTGCATAATCTACCAATTCTCTAGGTCAATATACTTTACTTGGACTCTTAATTTTTTACATTTTAATATTAAAAAATGTTGAATGATGCATTTCTTTTTTACTAGAGGATTATTAATGTATTTCAACTGTGTTTCTGGCTGGCAGTTGTGACTGAATTTGTATCGAAATACAATTCATGGAGGCTTTTGCTGGGTAATTAAAACCATATGGAATGTGTTGGTAATATCAAAATAACAGTAAGCTTTTTTAAATAGGTAGTGTCTCCAAAGCTTCTCCTTTGAAAATTATTTCTTTTCTAAATAAAACATATCACAGTGATTCTTTTGTCTTTTTTTCTTTATTATAAATATAAAAAGACTTCATTGTGATGAAAAGTGTGATAGCCAAAGAACCAGTTATTTTATAGAATGAGGATGCTACTTCAGAGACAGCATTTTCAGTGTCTCGGAGGAAAAAACATTATCTTCTGAAATAGAATAAGGAGAGGACAAAAAGACTGCGTTATTCAGTAAATGTGTATATATTATTTAATCGTTATTAAATTGCATTATTTCATCATCAGGAAGACCAGCGTTAATATTTACCCAAAACAATTAGACATTTCAATTTTCATGTTACCCAGTCACAGCTTTTGAAAAATTATGTGCTTAGCATTTGAGTTAGCTGCTGCTGCTATCAGTTACACTTGCATCACGCTGTGGTAAATTTTGAAACTGACTGTCCTGTGTGTTTTCTAAACAGTCTCCCAAGTTTGGAAAATATGGAGTGGACAGGGTATTTCTGTTCATGTCTTTGCAGACCTGTAAAATTAATGACCATATTGAATGTGTCTAACATACAGTGTAATACAGCTGGATATCCAGCTTTCCAGTGACAATTACTGTGTTTTAGAGATTACATTTTAGTAGACTTTGCTTATCACTAATATAAATTCTTATTTAAATAAATATTTAAAAATACTATTGAAAAAGCAGTAGGCCATGCAATGTATATATATAAAAAAGTCAGTTTTAGCTCTATTTAAGAGGCTTTAACTTACAGTGAGTGTCTAGCAGGAGAACAATCTTATACATCCAGTAACTTAAAAAAAAATAGCTGAGGGAAGTTTTGAGTATGCTTCATTTTTTTTTGCAACCCTGAATTTCATAATTCCTTGGCTTGCATTCTTCTACAACTGTGATAGCTGAAAGAATTTTAGGGAGTATGCAAATGCCTTACGTATATGTAATTGCTTCTGCTGGCTGAACTTCGTATACACGGCAAAGGCTCTTTCATTCCCACACTAGCTGCCTCCATTCTCCTCCCTCTTTCCCCTCTGTTTTCAAAATTCTGATGTACACCTCTTTTTCATGCCAAAAGCTCTATGATGTCCCCTGTTTTCCCACTCCTGCTTCCCCATCACTGCCATCAAGAACATCCCCAGGAATGTCTGGTACTGATCAGAGACGGTGGCTGTGCTGCCTGACGGAGAAGTGTCAGAGGGCTCGGTACCCAGCTCTGCCTCACCCAGTGGGAAGAGAAGCTGTAGAGGAGCTACTCACGGCTGAGCAGAGCTGGTCAACAGCAGTGATCTGTGTAGATGGCAGCAGGAATATTGTGGAGTCTTTGTAAAAGAGAGGAATGTGAAAGGCATAAGAAATACAAGAAATACAATCTTCTCATGTAGACTTTTCTCACTTTTGTATAATTAGGATAATTATTTTATAGCTAAAGATTTATCTCAGTTTTTTCATGTTATGAAAACCCATACTCCCTTGCCTTTAAACAATTCCATGTTGACTTCAGCGTAGTTGAAAATTAGGGCTAGTAAATTCCAGCACTTAAGGTTCTGGCTAATTCAGGGCATTGTTAGAATAATTAACAGATATCAAGGCATATGACCTTGTTTCACATGACTGAAGTTTATATAATGCAGTCTGAACAGCAAACAGAACAAAATTAAGTACTTTATCTCAATTCATGCAAAATAACTTACTATGACTAGCTGCCACATGTAAAAAGCATGTCTTGGGTAAATTATCAAGAATAGAATTGATTTTAATAGAATTGGCTTTTCTTTGTTTTCCATTGCTTGCTACTTCATTTATTTATCCTATTGAGCTTCTGGTTTACTTTAGGCAGGTTCACAAGGACTTCTAGGCTGCAGTGTATTTGCGTTGGAATACTAAGGGACTTTTTAAAAAACATTATGCCTAGTAAAAAAACCCCACAAATATTCCTGTTTACAAAAAGCCACAATATTATTTATTAATTACATTCATTTTGGAAAGATTATGACTTGCATGAGTATTTGGATAGATAGAGAAAATATAGCTAGAAATACCTAAAAAATCTGTAATTCCTAAGTCTTTAATTTATTCAACCTCTGCCTGGTATTGATTATGACAAGAGGATATCACAAAAGATGAATTCATTCACTTCAGAATTGAGTCAGGAACAAGAGAAAAAGTATAGATTTTCTCAAATAGATTATGACAGGTAATCAAAATGGTGACAAATTGCTGTCTGTAGATGTAGTTAGGGCAGTTGGACTAGACGTTTCCAATAAAAACTGGAGCATACTGGTCAAATACCAATTCTTAAATGGCCATCGTTAATTGGTAAGAATGTTACTGCCAGCACTACAGCTGCCTACTAAGGCACTTGCCCTTCCCCCTCTCCACCCCCCCCAATGGAATATAATTTGCTCGTCAGTATTTTGTAGCAGACCTCAAAGTGATAGCATGACATGATCATTTATCAAACGGAGACTGCCCAGAAGAGTGTCTGGTCCCTTTAGTACAGGGGGGGAAGGCTGGGAAGTGAAAGCACTTTATTAGAGACAGGAAGGCAATGAACAACTAGAGCGTATCGAAAGGGTAATCATATTTCAGCACAGAATTAGTGTGCTCTTACATAAACATACACTGGAGTAAGCATGTTCTGGGTCATTTATCAAGTAAGTAACAGCTAACAAAAATCTACAGGACTCTTTGTATACATTCATCAGAGTTAAACTGTATATACGTTATTTCAGTAATAGACAATTCTGTGTTGCAAAACTGTTACTTGAAAAGGTTCTTTCTAGTGAAATCTAGAACACGTTACAGATTTCAGTGACAATGCCTGAATGCTCAGGTAAGAATAAATAAATACACTTGCTAAATGCTACTTCTTTTTTAATAAGCCTAGCCTAAAATATTTTTCCCATAAATTGTTGTGTTTGTGATTGTTAGCACCTAAACTGGGGGGTTATCATATTGCTATTCTGATACATGCTGCTAAAGCTTTGCTGTGTAACATTATGAGATTTATCAACATTTCTTCATGTGGACTGGTCCTCAGTGTCTTGCATTGTTTTATCAGTCTTGCTCCTCACAGAACCAGACTTTTGCTCTCTATTTTTCGAAAAAGACGTTATCATCACTGAATAACAGTGCACGATAGAAGATATCACCATCAACATTAATAGACAAAAAAATGATATGGTTTGGAGGTGTGAGGCTGTGCTGCCACTTCCTTTTCCATGGGATTTTTTAAACCTGTACTGTATAACCCATAGAATATTACCAGGAGTAGTTTCTATCAAGGGAGTAGAGCCTGCAAAACCAGATTTCTCCCTCCTTGCATTACCCAGGTGATTTTCTAAATTTGAAAGAGCTAAGAGATATCTACATCACTAGATACTTCATTATTGGCATCAAGCTACAAAATTCTACAGGCTTTGCAGTTTAGAATCTGTCACATCGTGATTAGTATATTTTCCCCAAATTATTACAACTGTACAACATAAATTCTCTCTCCTCTTGTATTCATACAGATTGCTTTGAATCCCTTAAGCTTTTCACACATACAAGTAAGCCTATCCAGAATGAGTTAGGTGAAATTTTGAAAAGAGTATTTCAGACAGTAGGGTATCTGAGAAGAAAGGACCAATCTGCTAAGCTTTGTATCCTTTTAACTTGAATTTATTGTATTTAAAAGACAGAAGTTCTATCTAGGTCATACTGCCCTTCAGTAACCAGTCAGAAACCCAGACACAGAAAGGTGTATTTAAAAAATTTCACTTTTTGGGCCAATATGATAACTGACCACCCACAGTTCTGGTATGTTTATATATATGTAAAATACAGTTTTACATATATATAAAAAGAGACGCAGTCTACTGTGGTTTGCACAATTTTTAGCTTTTATTATTCTGGTCTTTCTCTGTAAAGTATTTATTCTTCCACAAATTTTTCTAAATCTAATCAGACATTGATAATCTAAGGGCTCTGTGAGACCATGGGGCTGCATTAACAGACAATACATATCATACAAATCTTTTGGCTGGTAGTTCCTCAGCTTTAGGTGCTGAAAGCATTAATGTGTCCTTAAAAATCCAGAATTTTCCAACTGCATCAGCATTTCTTCTGTGCAATTATGATATATGCAGGGAATGCTGTGCACCACTGTATTTGAAAATGCACATTCTTAATGTGCCTGTTACTACTACATGAATAGTCTCACTGAAGTTGTTTCTGTGTGCAGGATTTGGGCCTGGCTGAACAAATCACATTACTATTGAATTTTACTCTGGAGGGGTCAAAATAATCACAATGTTCTGTTCTTGTATCAATTGCAGGATTTGGAGGTTGTATTAAACAAATGGACAATGCTGCGCAGAATGGATCTTACAGGAAACCCCATCTGCCACAAACCAAAGTACAGGGACAGGATTGTAGTACAGTCACAAGCTTTAGGTAAAAAAATAAAACCAATAGCCAGCCCCAACTCACCCATAACCCTCACTGTTTTAGAAAATAACAGATACGTTAATTGTTCTTGAATTGCAGTATGTATGCAAACACAATTACTGCCATAGATATTTATGTCAAATGATAAATTTTTAATTTTTGTACAGGTAGTGTATCTAAAATTGTTTATGTAATCAACTGCACAAACCGTGTTGCTTAACTTTTGCTTTTAGTAGTAGTAATAATTCGTTTTATAATAGATGATTCATGAGATTGTTATGAGACAGTAAGACATTTTGTGTTTGTATTCCAGATGTTGTGAAACTGACTTTCAAACATACACTTAGTCTACTCCTGTATCTGCCTGACGTAGTTGCTTAGGTGTTTTAGTTGTACAGGTCATACCTTACCGTGTTTGAATTTGTTATACAACATTTGTCCTTAAAAGCAGTTTACACTTACGTTATGAATGTACTTGTTAATCTTAACCTCACTGTGATGCAGTTTGCATTATTATTTTGAGATAATTTTAGCATAACAAGAAGCAACTTGGTCCTCTATACATAAGTATTCATACTGTAGAAACAAGCATTGGCTGGCTGGACCACACTCAAAGAGTCACAGTCAATGCCTCGATGTCCAAGTGGAGACCAGTGACAAGTGGTGTTCCTTAAGGGTCAGTACTGGGACCGGCGCTGTTTAACATCTTTGTTGGCGACAGGGACAGTGGGACTGAGCGCACCCTCAGCAAGTTTGCCGATGACACCAAGCAGTCAGCATGCTGGAGGGAAGGGAGACCATCCAGAGGGACCTTGACAAGCCTGAGAAGTGGGCCTGTGTGAAACTTATGAGGTTCAACAAGGCCAAGTGCAAGGTCCTGCACCTGGGTCGGGGCAATCCCAAGCACAGACACAGGCTGGGGGCAGTATGTGGATCGAGAGCAGCCCTGCAGAGAAGGACCTAGGGGTGCTGGTGGGTGAAAAACTGAATGTGAGCCAGCAATGTGCGCTTGCAGCCCAGAAAGCCAATCGTATGTTGAGCTGCATCAAAAGCAGTGTGGCCAGCTGGTGAGGGGAGGTGATTCTTCCCATCTCGTCCACTCTGGTGAGACCCCACCTGCAGTGCTGTGTCCAGCTCTGGGACCCCCAGAGCAAGACAGACATGGACCTGTTGGAGCAGGTCCAGAGGAGGCCCATGAAGATGCTCAGGGGGCTGGGGCACGTCCCCTGTGAGGACAGGCTGAGAGGGTTAGGGTTGTTCAGCCTGGAGAAGAGAAAGCTCCAGGGAGACCTTCTAGTGTCCTTCCAGTACTTAAAGGGGGCTATGGGAAAGGTGAGGAGGGACTCTTGATCAGGGCATGTAGTGACAGGACAAGGGGTAACGGTTTCAAACTGAAAGGGAATCAATTTAGATTAACTATTAGGAAGAAGTTCTTCACTGTGAGGGTGGTGAGGCACTGGCACAGGCTGCCCAGAGAACCTGTGGCTGGCCCCCCCCGGCCGGGTTCGAGGCCAGGCTGGATGGGGCTTTGAGCAACCTGGTCTAGTGGGAAGGTGTTCCTGCCCATGGCAGAGGGTTGGAACTGGATGGTCTTTAAGGTCCCTTCCAACCCCAACCATTCCATGATTCTTATGACATCTGCTCATTTTTTACATTTTTGTATATTATGTTAAAAGTTATAATTACAGAATTTGTTTTTCTTTTTTCTGAGTACAAAATATTGGACATTAAGAGAAAGAAAAAGCCTATCTGCACAATGAAAATAACAGTGCCTTAGGACAGTTCTAACACAACCTAAATTTGTGTCCAAATAAGGTGTTTCGTTTGGTTTGACTCAAAAATGCAGATGCAACCAAGGAAACAGAGCATAAGCTTTATGGCACCTAAGTGAGTAAAGTTAACCTTAAAGATCCAAATGTGTCTGCGTCTTCATGATCAGTAGGATTCATTGATTGCTAGGACATTCAGTTTCTCTGTTAACCTGAATTTCTGCATCTATCTATATCTTGTGTAATAGCATTAGCTTTTCTTCAGAACTTTCTACAAGGCATTGAACATTAACTAAATGTGAAATATATATATTTCCTTTGAAAGTTATAAAAATAATAGATGCTTTTTTTTTTGTAATTAAGATGTCTCAGCTCACTCTTGCAGCTTGAATATGAATATCAAGCTGTATTGGGTATTTTTTTTTTTACCAAAAGACTAAAAAGAGCAAAAAACATTTGAAGAGAGCAACTATAGAACCAGTACACTTTACACACAGCTTTGTACAGCCTTTTAGTTAACTTCGGGTATCACAGAAAATGTTCTCTTCTCTTTGACAGAGTCCCTTGATGGGAAAGAAATTAAAGAAATGGAAAGACAGTTCCTAATGAATTGGAAAGCCTCCAAAGCTGCCAGGAAACAAAAAAAAAAACCCAAACCAAGAAAGAATGACAAATGAACATGCAGCCTATCTACATATTTGTAAGCAAACTAATCAATGATTTCATGCTTATTTGCAATATTGTAGAAACAATAAAATAGCAGCTAACAGTAAATATACTAAGAATGAGGTTTGTATTGGTGGTGAGACCAAAACACAGGAGTAGAAATTGAACTTTTCCAATATAAAATTTAATTTTAGCACTAGTTCATGTGGTGGTTTTTTCCTCCCATCCAGAATTATGGAGAGGAGTAGCTAGTACACTTTGAATGCTTGTAAATACTTATGATTACTTTCCATATAAAAAAGAAAAAAGAAAAAGTGTTGGGCATGCTAGAATAAATAGGGATGACATACCTCAGACACTTACAATTTATTTGTGAATACTTATTTGAGCAGTGTAAATTGCCAGTCCTTTTAAAGGCCTTCACAAGATACCTGTCTAGCAAAGGTAAAAGTTTTAAATTTGGGAAGGGAAAAAAAAGTCTTGGAGGGAAAAAAGCCTTAAACCTAAAAGAAAAGGCAACATGTTCTTGAAGCAGGAAAACAAAATAGTTTTGAAACTCAAGCAAAACCTGAAATAAACTTGGAGGTTTTTAAAAAATGGTGGAGTGGAGGTTGTTGTTGTTATAGAGTTGACTGCAGATTAAAACGTAAATGATTTAACAGCATGTCTTGCCATCTTGCAGGATTTGGAAACAGACATTAGACTTTAAATTACTCAAAATGGTTTGAATGACCATATTTATAAAAGAAAATTGGTGGGAGTTACGCTGTTGCTTTCAGAAAATAATCAGTGATATGTAACTTTGGGAAAGAACATGTTCTTATAGCCATACTATCTCAAATTATTAATTCATGAAATCTCAGGAAGATCAGTTATTTTTGAAGACATGAAGTGAAAAGCACTCAGCCTGTCAGCCTCAGTCCCAAGAAAGTTGCAGTCTGCTCAGTGTTTGAAAGCCGTATGTGACTAGCAATGTTTCTGAAAGTAATATTCTGTCTTCTGAATAGCTATTGATACAAGGAGGTGCTATGTAATTGAATTTACTGCATTTCAAATAACTCTACCTGGATGGGAATACCTGCTTTAATATCCCCTTTCATCAGTGTTTGCAGCACTTTCCATACTTTCATACAAACTTTTCCATTCTCAGTTATCAGATTTGGGGCATTTTACCCTAAGGCTTATTACACTGTTTTCTATACAAGGTATATTGTAACCTTTGATCAATCATACTGAATATTAAAATAGATATTGAATTAATCCTTTTTTCTTTGTTTTCTACAGCTGACTTTGAATCACCTTATCCTAGTCTTCGTTTCCACTACAGTCACTCTGTGGAAAAAAAAAAAAATTTTTTTAGTTTTGTCCAAGATTCACAAAGTTAAAACTTCTGCCAAGAATCTTGGAAAAAAATAAGTCAGTGAAAACTCAGGTGTGTTCCTCTTAGTTCTGTTGGTTATTGCTTGTACAGCTCC